CGCCAAGGTGGATCCGCCTGCCTTCGGGCCTCCCAACAGTGCTCATAGGATTACAGGCATGAGCACTGTGCCCCTGCCGATTTTTTTTTTCTTAATAGTAGCTTCTTTTAAAATTGAATTTGTATCCAATCCTGAGAAAATGTCCAATACTCCAAAGGTAAATGAGCTTTCACTCCTAAATATTTGTTCTTATGCATTTTGTTCCCTTTCAGTTTTGTATTTGTAGGTATTATTTTAAAAATATCCATTCTTACTTGCTTCCAAAAACGTTGATGGCCACGGAGACTGGTTGCCTGGTACAGGGGCTTCAGTATACTGTGCTGTTGGCATGAGCAGTAGTATCCCTAACAGAGCAAGTATAAAAAAAGTGTAATGGTCAAATTATGGTTTTGCCACACGATGAACTATTAAGTATTAAAAAAATTTTTGCAGTTAAGGAAAAACCCAAACATGTGAAGAAAATTCACTCTGTCTAAAATAATTGCTTTTAGCTTCTGGGATTAAATGGTTTGTTTGTTTTTTGAGGCAAAGTCTTGCTCTTTCACCCAGGCTGGAGTGCAGTGGCAGATCTCGGCTCACTGCAACCTCTGCCTCCTGGGTTCAAATGATTCTCCAGTCTCAGCCTCCCGAGTAGCCCACCACAGGCGAATTTTTGTATTTTAGTAGAGACGGGGTTTACGCTTGTTGGCTCGGCTGGTCTCAAACTCCTGACCTCAAGCTCAAGTGATCTGCTCACCTTGGCCTCCCAAAATGCTGGGATTTCAGGTGTGAGGCACCATGCAGGGCCCCTAAATGGTTTATTACTTTATACTTTTTGAGGTTTTAAAAAATGTAATCCTGGTCGGGTGCGGTGGCTCACGCCTCAAATCCCAGCACTCTGGGAGGCCGAGGCGGGTGGATCACCTGAGGTCAGGAATTTGAGACCAGCCTGGCCAACGTAGTGAAATCCCGTCTCTACTAAAAGTACAAAAAACTAGCCAGGCGTGGTGGCAGGCGCCTGTAATCCAAGCTACTCAGGGGGCAGAAGCAGGAGAATCACTTGAACCCAGGAGGCAGAGGCTGCAGTGAGCAGAGATCGCACCATCACATTCCAGCCTGGGGGACAAGAGCGAGACTTCATCTCAAAAAAAAAATGTAATCCTAGCTTTCACAATCTTGAAATAAAAACAGTTGTTACCAATTGATGAGCTGCTTCCCATCATCTATTTAAGCCTAATGTTTAGAAATTCTCAATTCTAATTCTCAAAATTACTTGGTGTTTCAACCAAGTATTTCTGTTGCAAACTCCTGGAACAAATGGGGATTGTGATAAGCAGACACATCTTTAGGTTGATCTGTGTGGGTTAGCAGAGATTAGTTTTTAGTTTACAATGCTTGTTAACGCGAAAAAGTCTAAATGTCTGACAAATCATATATTCTTGAAATAAAATACTACACAGTGCTTACAAACGCTGTGTAAGTGTATTCATTAACATGGAAGAAAGGTCACAGTATGATAAAGGCTACAAAATAGGATGTACGATACCACTTTGTATAATCATGTAAGCATAGAATAGGATCTGAGAAAAATGCATCTTTAAATAGCTACTTAAATAGTTGTTTAAGTAAGCGAATTATGGGTGATTTTAGCTTGTCTGCAGTTCCTGAGTTTTTTTTCCAATGAGTATTAGTTGCTCCCCTACGATGACACACATCTATTTGTCATCCCTGCCTCTGTCCATCCCCCTAACCTCATCCCTAACCCCGCAAGACTTTTATACACATTTCCCAAACTGCTACAACAGAACAGAACTTCCCCCGGGGGCCTCCATGATTACCAAGAATCCAAGTACTAAGTACCAAGATCTGTGCCTTAAATCCTGATTAACCCACATTTGACGCACGTCAAGCTCAATCTCTGAGAAGCCAAGAGAATGCAGGGTTCTCGTTCACTAGTTTTTCTAATCAACCAATTGCTGTCTGATAAGAAGCTCTCTTTAGATGTCTGATACTGGTACAGCCAGTCAACCATTCTCATCACTCAAAAGTATTGTCGACTCTGTTTAAAGGGCAAGAAACTAACTTTCTGTACTGATCCCAGAAAACATGCCTCAAGTGGCTTTTGAGACAAGATCTTTGTACCCCAGGTTGGAGTGCCGTGGCACAATGATAGCTCACCGCAGCCTCGAAATCCTGGGCTTGTGATCGTCCTTCATCAGCCTCCTGAGTAGCTGGGACTACAGACATGCACCACCATGCTCGGCTGATTTTTAAAATTTTTTGTAGAGACTGGGTCTCGCTGTTGCTCAGGCTGATTCTGAACTCAGGCTCAAGCAATCCTCCTACCTTGGCCTCCCAAAGCACTGGTGTGACTGCCACACCCAGCCCCCAGGGCGGCTTAATTAAAAAACTTTTTTTCCTTTGACAGTTGAAGTTGGTTTATTGTAAACGTATGTGTCCTGGCCAGGTGCGGTGGCTCATGCCGGTAATCCCAGCACTTTGGGAGGCCGAGGTGGGCAGATCATCAGGTCAGGAGTTTGAGACCAGCCTGACCAACATGGTGAAACCCAGTCTCTAATAAAAATGCAAAAAAATTAGCTGGGTGTGGTGGTGCACGCCTGTAATCTTAGCTACTCAGGAGGCTGAGGCAAGAGAGTTGCTTGAACCTAGGAGGCAAAGGTTGCAGTGAGCTGAAATCACACCACGCACTCCAGCATGGGTGACAGAGAGACTCCATCTCAGAAAAAACAACAAAAGGTGTTCCTGCCTGTGGGTAAGATGAAAAAAAAAGGAAAATGTGCAGCCTTAGGGCTAGCAAACACCCGAGTAATTGGTCAGATTTAACAAGGCAAGGCTTGCTCCAAAAAAACGTAGAAAAGCCTAACAGAGTAGTTCAAGGTAGGATCTTTTTCTTTTTTTTTTTTCAGACGGAGTCTCGATCTGTCGCCCAGGCTGCAGTGCAGTGACCAGATCGCAGCTCACTGCAAGCTCCGCCTCCCGGGTTTACGCCATTCTCCTGCCTCAGCCTCCCAAGTAGCTGGGACTACAGGCGCCTGCTACCTCGCCCGGCTAGTTTTTTGTATTTTTTAGTAGAGACGGGGTTTCACCGTGTTAGCCAGGATGGTCTCGATCTCCTGACCTCGTGATCCGCCCGTCTCGGCCTCCCAAAGTGCTGGGATTACAGGCTTGAGCCACCGCGCCCGGCCAAGGTAGGATCTTAAAGTACTTCCGTTATGCTTTTCTACAATGTTTTTGGTATTAATCTATAAGCCAAAACCCTGTACCTGTTTTATTTTGTAAGAAAAACTAGTGATTTCTTTAAATGTGTCATTACGACGAGTATAGAACGATTGAAAAAAATCTGTGATTCGAAAACATCTATGACCACTCTCAGGGGTGGGAAGTTTGGGGATTGCAACTAACTAAACACTGGCAGATGGGTTCTATGGTTAAAAGGCTTAAAAACTCATCTATTCTACCTACACTTCAGAATTAAAGGCAAATCTGTTCATCACCCTTTCAGGCCTCCATCATGTAACGACCAACAGTGCTCAGGTGGCTCCTAGTCCTTCCCCATCCCCCAGGGGTTATCAAAGCTTCTTTGCGGTCAGTTCATCCCACGTCACCAAGCTTTGCATTTGCTTTTACTGTATCCTCACTATTCCCTATAAACTCTGCTCTGGCAGTCCGTGCAGAGATCTATGATCGCACAGGGCTTGTTTTTAAAGGATTCTTGCCTACTAATCAGCCCATAGGCAAAACAACACACCACGTGTAAAGAGGTTTGAATTCTGTTCCAAGGACCCCTCTTTAGTGATAACCTCAGCAAGGGCTGTTCTCTGGCCGTTTTCACTGTTGCCAAGCCAACAGTTGCCCTACACCCCCTCTAAAGACTATAGTTAGAGGGCAAAATGAGAATACAATGTATATGAAAGCAAATCTGGAAAATACATACCATAGATTTAGTTGTAGCTTTTTTTTTTTTTTTGAGACCAAGTTTCACTTGTCACCTAGGCTGGAATGCAATGGTGTGAACTCGGCTTACTGCAACCTCTACCTCCTGGGTTCAAGCAATTCTGCCTCAGCCTCCTGAGTAGCTGGGATTACAGGTGCCCACCACTAAGCCCAGCTAATTTTTAAATTTTTATTAGAGATGGGGTCTCACCTTGGCCAGGCTGGTCTCAAACTCCTGACCCCAGGTGATCTACCCACCTCAGCCTCCCAAAGTGCTGGGATTACAGGTGTGAGCCATCATGCCTGGCCTACTCGATACTTTTTTTAACCTCATACGAAGAACTAAGAATTATGTATTTTCTTTGATTCAAAGGATATTGGATTGTTTTTCCCTTAAACCAAGTCAAGCAACTTCAAAGGACATAGCAAGTACTAAAGCAGTTATGTCTCATGTATCAGCCAAAAATGAACCACATCATGGTCCCGTATTATGTAATACTGTACCTTCTCTTTAGATAAACAAGTAGTTACCATTCTATTACAACTCCTTATAGTATTCACATAACAACATGCTGTACAGGTCTGTTGCCTAGCAGTAATAGGTTAAACCATTCAGCGCTACACATGTAATAGGCTATGCCACTGAGGTTTGCGTAAGCACTCTATGATGTTCACGCACAAAAACTGCCTAACCATGTGTTTCTCAAACTATATCCAGTCAGTAGTGACCCATGACTGTTTTAAACAAAAATTAAAAATTTCACTTAAAAAAACAAAAAGTAAGATCAAATATGGAATTTGTTTTTTGAGATAGGGTCTCACTCTGTTGTTGCCCAGGCTGGAGTGCAGTGGTGCAATCTGGACGCGCTGCAACCTCCACCTCACAGATTCAAGCGATTCTCCCGGCTCAGCCTCCTGAGTAGCTGGGATTACAGGCACCAGCCACCACACCCAGCTACTTTTTTTGTATTTTTAGTAGGGACAGGGTTTCACCATGTTGGCCAGGCTCAAATGTGGAAATTCCGTAAATAAAATGTAAACCAGAATTTAATCCATGTGCTCCAAAATATTTTCATAATTGAGATTTTATTGGTTGAGGATCAGTACAGACATTTCAATTTGTACACAATTCTTAACATATGTAACGAAATTCTAAAAAGCCATGTATTGTAATTCTTTTTTAAAGTTATTCCAGTGACTTTCCAGCTTAAAATTTGGAAGCAAATTTTCCTTAAGAGGCTATCAAGTACCAGTATCTTCACATGTTGGTCAGCTGTTACGTATGGCCCACCAGTTCACAACTGAATAGCATGTACACTACATATTCAAATCTGTAATCTTTCACAGCACAGTAACGAAGTTATTAGGCAAACAGGACTACCACAACCAAAGCTGTTACAGAGTGCACACAATTCCGACAGGGAGCGCCATGATCAAGGAGTGGTTTTCTGTAGGAAACAATTCTACTAAAAAACATGAGAATAGAAGTAAAATAAAATGTTCAAGACATTAAATGCAGGACTGACTCCATATTGCCGTTTAATATGCTCTGTATTATAGGATATAAAAACTAACCCCCCATCTATGGAATGTTAAGCTGGCACCCGAGACAGTCAAAGCCTCCCGTAATTCAATATCCCACACTATTTTCTGGTTGTACCAAAAAATAAACAACCAGCAAATGATTTCACCTCTTAAAAAAAAGCATTTACACTTAAAAAATGGGATGAGGTGGGATTCCCTCCTTCTTAAAAATGTTTCTAGAGCTACTAAAAAACTTGCATTTACAAAATAGTTGATAAAAATATTCCTCTGGATTGTACAAGAAGGGAGACAGGGACCACTGGTAAGACATGGTATATGGTATTAATCAGACTTGGCTTCTTTCTCTCCTGCTTCATCAGAGGCTGGACTCTGCAAAAGAAAGGAAATTGAGATCTTTAGCACTTAAAACGTTGTCATTTTATTTATATGCAACTATCAGGTCTTTACAAAAGTCAATAATCTTTATTTGTAAAGTCACCTACTCTTGTTAAAAAACTTTTGTAACCACCTCCCCACCCCAAATCAATACTTGCGGCACTTCCATGGTCATGTTCATATACAGAGCAGCAAAAAAATGTGAGTTGCACCACATGTACATTCCAAGCTGAGGTCACTCTGTCTTCTTGTTTCAGCTCTGATGCCGTAACAACTGTTTTTCTGGTCTACTTAATGCCACGTATTTTACATCTTTGTGCTTTTTACTGATGATTTTGCTGTTTAAAATGGCCCCTAAGCATCTTGTCCAAGTGCTATCTAATGTTGCTAAATTCAAGGCTGTGATGTGCCACACAGAGAACGTATGTGTTGGACAGCTTTGTTCAGGTACGAATTACAGTGCTACTGGTAGTGAGTTCCATGTAAATTTAACATACATTAATTAAGGCATGTCTGAACAGAAATACACATGTAACAAAGTCACGTATTTATCAGTTGATGAAAATGTTGTGATCAGAGGTTTGTAGGAACCCAATCCTGTATTTCCCCTATGTGAAACGGTTTCATACTTGTGGCAGCCTTATATTAATAGAACACAGCTATAAACAAGAGAGAACCAACTGTAATTTGATAATATGTACTAGAAGGTCAAGTTCTTCCTTTAAAATCAGAACTAGATTAGCAATGTTATCTTATTATCACACAATATTTGATGTATGGTTAGAATTAAGAAGTACAGGTCAGGAGCAGGGGCTCACGCCTGTAATGGCAGCACTTTGGGAGGCCAAGGTGGGCGGATCACCTGAGGTCAGGAGTTTGAAATCAGCCTGGCTGACATGGTGAAACCCCGTTTCTACTAAAAATACAAAGAATTAGTTGGGCGTAGGGGTGCATGCCTGTAATCCCAGCTACTCAGGAGGCTGAGGCAGGAGAATCACTTGAACCCGGGAGGCGGAGGTTGCAGTGAGCCGTCCCAGCACTGCACTCCAGCTTGGGCAACAAGAGCGAAACTCCATCTCAAAAAAGAAAAAAGAAAAAACAAAGAAGGGAATTAAGAAATACAAGTTAAAAAAAAAAACTGTGATTGTAAATTTCTTAATTTAGGAATAAGTTTATAACTTAAGAATTTGACACACATCAAATTTAATATCAAAGAATTTGATATTTATCAAATAAAAAAAAGGTATCGAAATTTAAATATCAAAATTTAAAAATCAATATACTAAATTACTTATCTTTTCTAGCTTAGTTAATATAACAAACATAAAATAAAGAGGCCTGGCTTAACTGAAAAAAAAAATTATTTTTTAAGAAACAGCTTCCAGGCTAGAGGAGTACAGTGGTGTTCACAAAAAAAAAATCAAAACCTGTTACACATTTCTTTGTTCCTTCTCTACTCCCACTGCTTGGAAAAAAAAAAAAAACATCTTTTCCTCATAGCTTAAAACAATGAAGATTCAGCCTGGGTAAAAAAAAATGTCTCTAAAAATAAAGATTAATGACACTAGTCTTTTTACTTGCTTTATGTGTATTATTCAGACCTTTAAGAAAAATACAAACACGGCCGGGCGCGGTGGCTCAAGCCTGTAATCCCAGCACTTTGGGAGGCCGAGACGGGCGGATCACGAGGTCAGGAGATCGAGACCATCCTGGCTAACATGGTGAAACCCCATCTCTACTAAAAATACAAAAAACTAGCCGGGCGTGGTGGCGGGCGCCTGTAGTCCCAGCTACTCGGAGGCTGAGGCGGGAGAATGGCGTGAACCCGGGAGGCGGAGCTTGCAGTGAGCCGAGATCTCGCCACTGCACTCCAGCCTGGGCGACACAGCGAGACTCCGTCTCAAAAAAAAAAAAAAAAAAAAAAAAAAAAAAAAAAAAAAAAAAACATTTTCATTAGAAACGAAACTGGGAAAAATATGCCAGGAAAAATGCAAGTAAGGGTAATAAACTTTCGAAAATATATTTAAAAGCAACATCCAGAATATAAAAACAAAACAAAGATTAAATTATATCTCAAATTGAGCATATTAAAATTTCTTGCTCTTAAGCCATTTACGTATTTACTTTCCAATAGGATAAATCATAAACCATTTGTCCATTCATTTTGGGATACTGTACAAAACTTTGTTCAATATTATAATGAATACTGTTATCTGCTACAAAAAACGTACAATGTAGTATCTACTGTTCAGAGTGAAAACACACACACGCTTCTGACCTCCTCAGTTTTCGTTTCCCCGTTTTCTGCAGGTAAATCTTCTTTAGTTTCTTGGTTAGCCACTTCGGCCTGTTTTCCCTTTGCTCCCCTTTTCCCTTTTGTTTGCACTTTTTTGTCTGAAGATTTATCCTATGATAGAATAAGAATATATTTTAAGTACAAACTTTACCCCTTATTTACATTTTGTTTTTACTTTTCTCCCTTCATGTCAGACAAGTAATGTAAACAATGGTGCTGACTTCATAGCAAGGTTTGAGAGGGACATCTCACACATCAGTGTGAAAACCCAATTTTCAAGCTTATGAAAGGATCTCATTTTGTATAGACTGTATCCATAATAGCTGTCACATTAATGTCTATCACACAACAGCTGATATACCTATTACATGAAACAACTTAGGGTTCACCCCAGTAATCAGGAAAACAGCGTATGCTAAGGAGATTTTAACAGTACTTGCATGTCAAGCCTCATTAGACGTATGACAAATCCTAAAGCCCAAGCTATACTTCAGCACTGTCGCCATCATCTACTGTTCTCTGCAGTTCTACATGACAAGACAAATGAAGTCGAATACCGGAGGAGTCTCGTCAACTGTATTCCCACCCATCCCCAAATTTGTTGTGAACTTGAACAATACTGTCCTCACAAGACCTTAACCCTCACATTAAGACCATTCACCTGAAAAAAAGCACCATGCCGTACGGTCAGGTTGACTATCCTGCTACAGTTACTCCCTTGATATCATATAATGAGGAATTAAAAGAATCAATTTTGAATTTATCATTTTCATATAGGTGTTTGAAGAATCTGAAAAGTACAGGTATTTAAAATGACCATACTAACTTGACACGTTAAGTTCAAAATTTAAGCCATGTTAAAGAAACATAAAAATACTTTTGGATACCATCCATCAATACTGAGAAGAAAGCTTAACATTTATTTCTTGTTAGTAAGTATGCAACAGCAGCTAAATTAGTTTAGCCCCCAGCGGGTGGTATAAAAGACCCATAAGGATACTGACCAATTACTTGAGTTAAAGGGCCATAAAGACAAGCACACAACTTCAATGCTAACGTGGGTAGAAAAATCACTGCAGGGTGTTCTGTACTAACAGCAGGATTCCACAGACAAAAATCACTGCAGGGTGTTCTGTACTAACAGCAGGATTCCACAGACAGCATAATGACTTTTAATACTTCAACATCCTTCGAATAACAAGTGTATCTGAGACAAAACTGCTACTACACACATTGCTATCACGAAGTTTCACAATCACTTGTGTACTGATTTCTAAAGATTTCTCATTAATTTCATAATCATTCCAATACAAAAAATACAAAACTGGGAAACAGTTAAAATAGAATACACAGTAATACCCTGAATTTGAAATATACCACCTGTAACCATTATCAGCTGATAAGCTAAATAAAACAAAAATACCACCTGTAACCATTATCAGCTGATAAGCTAAATAAAACAAAATTAATCAAGTTTCCCGAATGTTTGGACCTTCAAAACATTTAGTTCTAGGGAAATGACACACTGTAACAGATACGCCTTGAAAACATGTCTACTATGTAGTATGAAAATCAATACACCAAGTGCTTACCTTCTGTTTAAAGTCTGATCAACTATGACGTCAAAGGTGTATTACAGAAACTAGACGTAAAAATGAACAAATCCCTTCTGCCCTTTTTTCCTTGGAGAAGGCTGACCTCATAGGTTCGTTCCTCAACGAACACTGACATGAAGACTTACCTGTTAGCCTCTCAATTACATCTGATGTCCCAACCCACTGAGAGTCCAACTTGGAACTGTTTTCATTAAAAAATTTACTTTACAGTAGATCTCAAGGTGGACAAAGATAAATAAGAAATAAGAAAAATGTAAAGAGGGAAACAGGCAGATATTTCAGCCAATTAGTTTTAAAAAAACCCCAACAACCCAGAATCAAAAAAGTAATAATATACCGCTCACACCAACATTTTAAACAAGGTCAGCTAATTTTTTAGGCCTTCATCAAGTTTCCGTGCTGTTCTAACTGTATACAGAGAATTACCACATTGTCTTCTGGTAATGAGATTACAACTTGAAAAATACTATTCTCATACCTTCCTTGAAGCTTTATTTTTAAAAGGATCACAAAAACAGAACTTTCTGTTAAAGAAAACATAGTTAAGATTTTTTACACTCAGCTCTGTACAAAATTTAAATTAAAAAAGAAAAAACATCTTTGTTTTATACCTTTATTTAACAAGGACAAATTTAGTAATTATCCAAGAACTCCTCAATGTCAAGGAAATTAATCTTGCCTCTTCTGATGATTGTGCAGTGCTACACTTCTACCTACACTTTTAGGAAAGAGGTGAAGGCATTAACAAAAAAATTTTTTGAGACTTCAAACAGCAAACTTTCACCTAAGTTTCGGATAGAAATTAATCAGCCCGTGAACATTAGAGCTTTACAGATGGTGGTCTCAATGCTAGATCCAAACACAAAGTTTATACACGTTTTACGCATGTTCTGCTTTTCCACTCTGAAAGTTATCAAACACACGTATATCCAAAGCCAACTTCATTCTACAAACCTGCAATTCGAATCATGCAATCACGAATTTATTAGGGAGCAGCCAAAATCACGGTTTTGTATAACTGCTAATAAAACACTTTTAGAGTAGCAGCGGTTATTTTCTCAGAGATCACAACTTCTGACCTCCCCACTCCCACCCCGTAAAAAGGTTAAGATTTCCCCAAGTTGGCTTGGAAACTGTATATATAAAAACTTACACGTTCCCTGCCTCAGTCCTAACTTGGCTCTTTTATCTTCAAAAGAGGAAGTACAAGCACGCAATTAAAGGCCAACCACCAGCCACAATGTACGCAACGCAAAGAATAAATTTCCTTTGCAGACTTGCTAATACTTAATATTTTTTGTCGTCCCAAGTCTCCTAACATCTGCAGCAGCATTAGTGTGATGTAGTCCTATAAACCAGGACGAATATATCCATTACATTTTACCTCGACCAGAAGAAAAGTTATTTACCGTAGTTATTAAAACATAAAGAAAGCTCAAATAGCTAATCAAAATGAAAAGTCCCGCATTAAGGAGCAGTGCACCTAAGGCCCCGCTGCACCCCAATGCGCGTTTCGAAGCCTACCTTCGCTGCTGCCTTTTTCGGCTTCGCTTCCACTTTGGCAGGAGGTTTCTGAAAGGCAAAAGTAGCACTGAACGTCCTTACCCGGGACGACCCGCGAAAAACAAACGGTTACGGGGCTGGTTTTACTTACAGCTGACAACCGCGCCGATCTCCTCTTGGGCTTGGAGAAAGAAAAAGGAGAGTCAGCGAGAAAGGCAGGCAGGCCAGCGGCTCACGGGAAACCCACCACCCCCCGCAGAAGGCTCCGAACTCACCTCTTCCTTGGCGGCCCCTTCGGCGGAGCTGACCTGCGGGGACAAGGAGACGGACGAATGCAGGCGGGCCGCAGTCCCAGGACTCGCGCGCCCGCACGGCCCCGAGAACAATGCCCGGCCGCGTGACGTCACGGCTTCCCGCCGCCCCGTTCGAATCGCCCCCTTGGCTCCCCCGGCCGCCGAACGTTCCAGAACAGCCGCCCCCGCGGCCGCCGAGCGCCCGCCTGCCCGCCCGCCGGTCTCCAAGCGCCTCCCGGGCCCGTCGCCACCGTGAGTGCAGCGGGGCCTGGGCCTCGCGGGGCCCAGCAGACGGCGGCTCCAGGGGGCGTGTGCGGGCCGCGGCCACCGCTCACCTTCCTCTTGGGCATCCTGGCGGCGGGGAAGGCGCGTGCCGGGTGCCTGCGGGCCGCGGCGCGCCGAGAGCCTTCGCGAAACTGGCCTGCCTGGCCGCTGCCACTCCTCCCGCCGCCCGAGCTGCTGAGACCCACAGCGGGGGCGGTGGGAGAACCGGATGGAACCGGATTGGGAGCCCGCCTCCTCCTCCCCCCGCGTCCCCTGCCGCGGGCTCCCCCTCCACTCCGGCCGGGCCGCCCCCTGCCCCCGCCCATTGGCTGTGGGGCTCAGCCTGCGCCCGGAATAGGTGAGACAGGCCGTCACTCGACCTTGCGCCCCGCCCCCTCCCGGGCGCCCCCCACCCCTTCCCGCCGTCTCGCGGGGCCCCAGGCCCAGGCGAAGGGGGCGGGGCCCCAGTGGCGCTCCGACCTCACGGTAGTTTGTTTGAAGCCGAGCTGCGAAGTGCGGTCTGCGCGCTGATTGGCGGGAGCGTGCCACGTGACCGCAGGTCCCCACCCACAATCCTTCTGGATACCTGGGAGCCTTCAGGCCACTGGCATCTGGCCCCTCCCCTCTGGGGTGAATTGGGTTCGAACATTTATAGTTGGTATCTTAGACTGGGAAGGGAGAAGGACAAGGGATACAGGAACTAGCAAATTCCTCCCGCCTCAGTCGGCAAGAAAGGCTATTCAGGGGCTCCAGCTTCGCAGGCCTGCGTGAAACAGGCCCTGGTACGCAGGCGTTGGAGGAGGGCGTGGGAAGGAGAGCCGACGGGAGCTCGGCGTGGGCCAGTGCGCAGGCGCGGGACGCTTGCTGCGCTTTCGCTCGCCCAGGTCCACACCTGGGGCTTCGATGCGAAGTTACGGCAGGCGGCCTTTCTGTGTAACTTCCTTCCTTCCTTTCTTTTATTTAAGACAGGGTCTCGTTGTGTCATCCAGGCCGGAGTGCAGTGGTGCAATCACGGTTCACTGCAGCCTCGACCTCTTCGGCTCCAGCGATCCTCCCACCCCAGCCTGCCGAGTAGCTGGGACCACAGTGCACCACTATGCCGGGCTAACTTTTGTATTTTTTGTAGAGGCGGGGTTTCACTATGTTGCTCAGCCTGGTCTCCAACTCCTGGGCTCAAGCAACCTTCCCGCCTTGGCCTGCCAAAGTGCTGTGAATCCAAGCTGTGGAACTTTCTTCAGATTTCCCTGAGGACTGCAGGTGCACGACGGTCGTTTTTGGGCTCAGAGTAGGGCAGCTCTCAGACTGCAGCTCCTGCGAACCGTTCGCGACCGTCTCCAGCACTCGCGGACCCCCAGAGGAATGTTTTATTTTCTCCATAGCATTGATGGAATATATATCCTTATACATTCCATGTATATCTCAGCAAGAATGCGCAAGGAAGTGGTACCAGCGGTTGCCTCTGGGGAGAACTGGGGAGATTGAGGGTAAAATTTCCCTTTCTCGTGTGTAGTGTTTTTTTTCACTTTCCTACCTGCATGGATTTTTTTTTTTTTTTTTTTTTTTTTTTTTTTTTTTTTTTGAGACGGAGTCTCGCTCTGTCGCCCAAGCTGGAGTGCAGTGGCCGGATCTCAGCTCACTGCAAGCTCCGCCGCCCGAGTTTACGCCATTCTCCTGCCTCAGCCTCCCGAGTAGCTGGGACTACAGGCGCCTGCCACCTCGCCCGGCTAGTTTTTTTTTTGTATTTTTTAGTAGAGACGGGGTTTCACCGTGTTAGCCAGGATGGTCTTGATCTCCTGACCTCGTGATTCGCCCGTCTCGGCCTCCCAAAGTGCTGGGATTACAGGCTTGAGCCACCGCGCCCGGCCCCTGCATGGATTACCTTAAAAAAATTCAACATCAGGGAGTACCCAAGTTTGTGGCACAAGCATGCACTGAGCACTTGCCTTGTGGCAGGCACCGTGAAGTCCCTGGGGTAGAGAGAATCCAGGTTTGTATCCCAAGCACTGGGTCTAGTAATTTAGTGGGGAGAGAAAGTACTCAATTGGCCTAGTAAAGAAAGGGGAAGCCATCGGCATAGGTTGGTCAGCATATTTCAAGGCATGCTGACTTACTAGAGTGTGGCAGCCCACCAAGACCTTTAAAGTGTCAGGGATGGAGATATGAAAAATGGACGTAAAGATCAGGGGAAAGAGATAGAAAAAAAAGAAGAGCAGCCGGTCGTGAAGTTCGATCACTATCCAAAGATCGAGGGATACTGCAAGGTCTTAAGCAAGGGAACACTATGCTTTTGGACTTACCTTATAAAGATCTTTCTCCCATAAGAACCGAAGATGCGCTAGGTCAGAGGTGACAACTGATGGTCCACAGATGTTTTCTTTGGCCTAGTTTTTTTAAGTTGCCAACACAAACAAATGGAGCAGCCAGAACTCAAATGAAAAACTATTTGGCAGTATCCTTTTTTTTTCTTTCTTTTTTTTTTTTTTTTTTAAAGAAACAAGGTTTCACTCTGTTGCCCAGGCTGGAGTGCAGTGCTATTCACAGGTGTGATTCCACTACTCATCAGCGTGGGAGTTTTGACCTGCTCCGTTTCTGACCTGGGCCGGTTCACCCCTTCATAGGTAAACTTGCGGGTCTTTTGCTCCCTGGAAGGTCACCATCGTGGTGCTAATCACAGTGTAAACACCTGATCAGCACAACCCATTGTAGCCCAGAACTGGATTCAAGCAATCCTCCTGCCTCAGGTTCCCAAGTAGTTGGGACTACCGGCGTGTGCCACCATCTCCAGCTGGCGATATGTTTTAAACTTAAACAGACACTCACTTTCAGGACTCAGTCATTCCACTGCTGGAAAGGTACACAACAAAAATGCTTATATCTTTTCACCAGAAGACATGAAATAGAATATTCATAGCAGAACAATTTGTTATAAGCCCAAACAGAGCAATCTAAATGCCAATCAACAAAAGAATAGATGAATGAATGGAAGACCGTCAGCAATGAAAATGACCCATATGCTACTACATACAACAATGTGGATTAATTTCACTAGCATAATGTTGAGAGAAAGATACCAAATCCAAAAGTGTGTACACTGTGTGATTTTATTCATATAATGTACAAAAGCAGGCAAAACGAATCCAGTCTGTTGGAAGACAGGATAGTGCTTCCTGGTTGGGGTTGAGGTGGGGAACTAGCGACTGGAGGAGAGAGCAATGGAAAAATTTGGGGGGCTGGCTATTCATGCTCGGTTTCTTGGTCTGGATGTTGGTTTTACTATGTTCACTTCATGAATACTAATTGAACTGTTCACTTATGTTTACGTTTCTGGGTATATATAAGTTTTTTTTTTTTTTTTTTGACAGAGTTTGGCTGCTTTACCCAGGCTGGAGTGCAGTGGCGAGATCTCGGCTCACTGCAAGCTCCGCCTCCCGGGTTCACACCATTCTCCTGCCTCAGCCTCCGAAGTAGCTGGGACTACAGGCGCCTGCCACCACGCCCGGCTAATTTTTTGTATTTTTAGTAGAGACGGGGTTTCACCGTGTTAGCCAGGATGGTCTCAATCTCCTGACCTCGTGATCCACCTGCCTTGGCCTCCCAAAGTGATGGGATTACAGGGAAGCCATTGCGTCCAGCCTATAATAAAGTATTTTTTCAACATGTCAGAGTCAGAAATTTTCACTTACAAATTTAGCTCTTCCACTTCTCTTGTCATCCTTTCTGCATACATTCCACAGACTGCACTTGACCTTGTATCTTGTAAGGAGGTGTTCTTAAGCCATCGTCCTGCCTCAGCCTCTCATGGACAAATGATTTTTTTTTTTTTTTAATGGAGGGATTCTCACTCAGTCGGCCAGACTGGAGTGCAGTGGCGCTATCTCTGCTCACTGCAACCTCTGCCTCCTGGGTTCAAGCAATTTTCCTGCCTCAGCCTCCCAAGTAGCTGGGATTACAGACGCACACCACCAGGCCCAGCTAAATTTTGTATTTTTAGTAGAGACAGGGATTCACCATATTGGTCAGACTGGTCTCAAACCCCCGATCTCAGGTGATCCACCCACCTTGGCCTCCCAAAATTCTCGGATTACAGGCGCGAGCCACTGGGCCCAGCTGACAATTAATTTTTGACAAGGACACCATGAATATGCAATAGAGAAAGGCTGAAGCGGGGAGGATTACTTGAGTTCAAGACTTTGAGAAAACCAGCCTGGGCCACATAATGAGACCCCTATCTCTTTTTAAAAAAGTATTGTATACTAAAAGTTTACTAAGAGAGTGGATCTTAATATGTGAAGTGTTTTGTCACAAAAATAGCAGCAATCATCATAAAGCAGGTGCAGTGAAACTGCGAGGGGACAAGTATGTTTATGGCCTTGATGGTGGTAATGGTTTCACAAGTGTATACTTATCCCGAATCTCATCCAAATGTTTACATTCAATATGTACAGTTTTGATATGTTAATCATACCTGAATAAAGTGGTTTAAAAAAAGAGTTGGCAGGGTGCAGTGGCTCCTGCCTGTAATCCTAGCACTTTGGGAGGCCAAGGCAGGAGGATTGCTTGAGCCCAGGAGTTCACGACCAATCTGAGTAACACAGGGAGTCCCCTGCCTCTACAAAAAGTAGTAGAAAAAAATTAGCTGGGCTTAGTGGTGCATGCTTGTAATTACAGCTACTCAGGTGACTGAGGCTGGAGAATCACTTGAACCTGAAAGGCGGAGGTTGCAGTGAGCTGAGATTGTGCCACTGCACTCCAGCCTGGGCGACAGAGAGAGATCCTGTCCCTCCCAAAAAAGAGCCAAGCTTGGCCGGGCGCGGTGGCTCAAGCCTGTAATCCCAGCACTTTGGGAGGCGGAGGCGGGCGGATCACGAGGTCAGGAGATCGAGACCATCCTGGCTAACACGGTGAAACCCCGTCTCTACTAAAAAATACAAAAAACTAGCCAGGCGACGTGGCGGGCGCCTGTAGTCCCAGCTACTCGGGAGGCTGAGGCAGGAGAATGGCGTGAACCCGGGAGGCAGAGCTTGCAGTGAGCTGAGATCCGGCCACTGCACTCCAGCCTGGGCGACAGAGCGAGACTCCGTCTCAAAAAAAAAAAAAAAAAAAAAAAAAAAAAAAGAGCCAAGCTGCCTGTCCTCATAGGACTTGTGCTGTAGCATGAGAAGACAGACAATAAACCAGTAAACAGGATACTTTGACATAGTTGTAAGCGCCTTGAAGGAAGAA